CGATTTATTAAAAAAAAACACAAAGATCACTATATAATTATTTTTGAAATATAAATTCTTTTTCTTTATCCAAGCTCATATGTGTTTAAGAATTATTTTCTAATAAGTAAGCAAGGAATTAAGACTTTCTGGTTTAAAATTTCCTTGGATCCGGAAAATTTTCTTGTTGGCAGAGGTTGTAAATATTGTTGTGGTTTACATCGTCCGTTTGTTTATTTATTTTTTAAATTAATAATAGAGCGTTCATTATTTTTTTTAAGTAAAGCGTTAAGAGGTCATTTGATAAAGAACGCCTGATGATACCGTAAGGTTGAAATCAAGGCAGCGAATTCAAGTGACTTGCTGATTTTTAAAACAATCGGTAGTGATTTATTTATCTATATTTCACTCATTTAAACCGTTATTTAACTTCTCCTTTTTAAGATTTTATTCCCCACTCTCACCATAAAGCCTTTCCTATTCTTCTTTCTTCCGTTACACATCTCTCTAGAGTTTTTATTTATATCCCTCTCCTCTTTGTTTCTCAATCCACACATACACACTCACTGAAATGTTGTTCTGTTTTTTATTTTTGATTTCTAGGTCCGATGAATTGGATCGTGATTACGATTCCAATGAAATAAATTATAACCACGGAAGTTTAGGTTTTGAGCCTTTTATATTATATTCTTATTTGGTCTACCTGGATTTTTCCTCTTACAATATAATATATATATATATATATATATATATATATATATATATATATATATATATATATATTGACCACTAATATTATCTATCTATCTATCTATCTATCTATCTATCTATCTATCTAAAATATAGTTTTTTTAAATTGTGTTAAAGTGCTCAATATCAGAGATACAGCGTATATAAATATAAAGTGAATATTGAAGTCAATGTTAGAAAGAAAATAAAAGACAAGTTTGCCAGACGCAATCGTTAGGCCTGACGATTGCGTTAGAATCGCAAAATTTTTAAAATCAATGTTTAAATTTAAATATATATATATATATATATATATATATATATATATATATATATATATATATATATATATATATATATATATATATATATATATATATATATATGTCCATAAGGTTCGTGTAGACTTTAAAATATTTATAACTTTATTTGTATTTTGAAATAATTTGTAAAAAGGATTAGAAAGAAGTAAATCTATATTTTTTAAGGTTTTATTGAAATTTTATTTAAATTTCCACATGTCCTCCATCATTAGCAATACAAAGTGTAACACGATTTTGCAGTTCACGGAAAACATTTGCCAACTGATTTACAGTAATGCCTGAAATCACATTAGTTATTTTTGCTATACTTAAAATTAGGTACATTAAACTTTATAACATTTTTTACAGATTATTTCTATCGCAAATACAAATAAAGTTATAAATTTTTAAAGTGCACCCTGTATATGGACATCCTGTATATATATATATATATATATACAAGAAATAAAAAAAGAAAGAAAAGAATCTTCTTAAAGGACTTTTTTCTTTTTATAACTAAACGAAAATTATACTGATTTTGACCTAAGACTCACTCAAAACAAACATGACGGAAATATGAAAATACTAATGAAAGCGCGTTTAATAACGACATTGATACCAAAAGATAACATCAGCACACCTTATAACAATGATAAGAGTAAGATATTGTCAATGAGTGTCTGAAAGTACAGGTTTCATTGTTAAAATAACAGATACAATAGTGATAGACATTTTGTTTTTTGTTATTTCGAGTTTACACACAGTATCAAAACCACGATGAAAACATTTATGTAATTTTGCATCTGCATCGATTATATGAACAGTAAGAAAATTCTTAGATAACGTAGTAAAGGAAGTCATGAAGAAAGGACTATCTACCCAGTCGTTTTCTCAAATTAATGATTAAAAATAACCTTAACCCTAACCAAAGATAATTAACCATTAAGTGAATACCTTGTTAATTGCGCGGCTCGGCTTAAAGTCCGGGAAATTCTAAATCAAAACCCAAATCATCGACGCACAATAATTCACACTAATTCGACTGGATAGTTTCACTAACTAGTCACTCAATAATCACCGCAGTCAGTAGCCTGACACCGCTATTTATACACCTGGCAGAAAACATATATTCATAAGACTAGAATGTCACGCTCGAACCTCGGTGCCGGTAGTTACTCATTTTTTTCCTACATGACATTTAGACTGTTGCTACACATTCAGACTGGTGCTACACAAATTGGTGCTATACAATCAGAGGCGCTACATAATCAGCTAACAAAGAACAAAATTCAAATCGGATGAAGACTTCAAACAACAATAGAAAAGGATAGTAACTCGGACAGAAAATAATAACACTTTTTAATCATTTCACCCCCAAGAAAGGCAATAAAGCCACTAAAACGAAAGATGTTAGTGTGAAAGAATATTAGAAAAAGAAATGAACAAGAATGAAAACAGAAGATCACAATTAACATTGCATTTACATTTCTGAATATCGAAATTGTCTGGCAAGCAAGATGAGAGTTCAACAAGGAGAAGTGCGAGAGAAGAAACTGTTAGCATAGAACTTACGGTTGCATCTAGCAATTTCAACTGCACAATAATGAGCCTTATCCGGCCATCTAGTAGATGAACAAAATTCTTAAGTTTCATACTATTTTCAATCGGTACTCTAAAGAATGTTATTTTCTTGGAAAACTGTTTTAAGAGAAAGATTTTATAAATATCAGTCCGTTGTAATTCTAACTGTTCGACTTATGAAACAGAATCTTTCCTTATAAGGAAACAGCTAATCTTAGCATTACCATTATCATTGACATTAAGAAGACAGACTACAAGATTACCAAAGAGACATCATAAGGTGTAAGTTATCTATTAAGGATGTCAAAATTAACCATGTAATGAAATTCAACAATTTGGACAGTGTAGTGTATAGACTACGCAAACGAGTTCGACAAAGTACGCCAGATCTGATGGAACTGTTCAGCAACCTTGATATATTTGGGAAAGATATTAGAATAATCAAGAACCTGTACTGGCAGCAAGCGGTATGCATATGTGCATAGAGAATGAGTTCAGCGGATATAGAAAAATAGAAATGGGCGTAAGGCAAGGATGTGTCTTCTCGCCGGATTTATTTAACCTATACAGCGAGACAATTCTGGGAGAATTGGAAACCTTACCGGGATTCGTCACTGGCGGCCACAATCTTAACAACATAAGATACGCAGATGACACAGTACTGAT